TCGTCAGAACAGAGCAAGGGAACACTGCATGGTTCAAAATTGGGAAGGGCGTACGCCAAGGGTGTGTCCAGTCTCCATACCTTTTCAACCTGTATGCAGAACAGATTATCCAGGAGGCTGGGCTCTATGAGGAGAGGGTTCTATGAGGAGAAATATGTGGTCAGGATTGGTGGGAGATCTATCAACAATCTGCGTTATGCAGATGACACAACCCTGCTTGCTGAAACAGAAGAGGACCTGAAGCACCTGCTGCAGAGGGTCAAGGACTGCAGCCTCCAATATGGATTGAGGCTCAATGTCAAGAAGACAAAGATTCTCACCTCTGGACCAATTGGCAGCATCAGGATGGATGGTGAAGAGATTGAGATTGTACAAAGCTTTAGTTTGCTTGGCTCCACAGTCAACAGTCTTGGCACCAGCAGCCAGGAAATTAAAAGGTGCATTGCCATGGGAAAGTCCGCTGTTAGGGACCTCTCCAAAGTACTGAAGAGCAACGGTGTGTCTGATAGAGGCCATCATCTTTGCAATCACTTGTTATTTGTCAGAGAGTTGGTCAATGACTAGGGAGGATAGAAGGAGAATTGATGCCTTTGAGCTGTGATGCTGGAGAAGAGTATTGAATGTACCATGGACTGCTAGGAAAACAGTTTCATCCTGGAGAGGGTTAAATTTGGTGACTCCTTGGAGGCAAGGATTCTGAGGGTCCATCTGACATACTTTGGACATGTTGTAAGGAGGGACCGGTCCTTGGAGAAGGACGACATACTTGGTAGGGTGGAGGGACAGCGCAGGAGGGGAAGACCCTCTATGAGATGGATTGATTCAGTGACTGGAGTAATCGGGATGGGTGTGTCAGAGACAGTGCGATTGGCCCAGGACAGAGCAGAGTTTAGGGCTGTTATACATAGGCTCCCTATGAGTTGCAAGTGACTCGAAGGCACATAACAATAACAACAACAACAAAACTGATTTTGGTTTTGTAGAACTGTGACAGAATGCAGTTCTGTTGTCTTAAGCTCACCAGGTTGTGGCAATGGATCACTGCAGCCACAAGAAATTAAATGCTGCTTCTTCTTAAGAAAGCCAGCCAGAAGAAGATATTTAACACTGATTCTTCAGAACTCCTTTAAATGATTCAAAAGAATGTCTGTGAGATGATGGTTTACTTGAAATACTGATATTGATAGTTTAGACGATAAATATAAGTTGGGAAATATGTTTCTGACTTGATTTATCTCCGTGTCCAAGTTTTCATGCTATTCCATTGCACTGCCTATCTTTAACAGACAAGAGCTTGCTCCGTGGCTGGTCCTTTCATTCTGTTCTGCTCAGATACACCCCTTACTCCACAATAATAGTTATATTTTTCAGAAAGGTAATATTTTTGAACACTTTATATGCTCCCTACTTTGTCTACAAGTCTTTTCAATGTTTTTCTCTATTGAATGCTGACCAGTTCAGAAGTTTACAGCTGAGAGAGTCATTAGTAACTTACTGTAAGCCACACACCTCATAGAAGTGGTGATTCCAGAGGCTAAGCATTCAATCTGGTTGGAGTTTGCACCTGTAACCACTACACTCTGCCTATGCTTCTACAGCGCCCTGGAATCCCTGGGAGGTATATGAGAACAAAGAGGAAATCTCCTTGTTAGATGCATTTTACCTGGGAAATGTAACTTTGAGGAGCTTCACTATTATATTGTCTTAACTTCTTCCTATTAAGTCTTTTAGAAGAAGGGGGAGGTAACAGTTGTGTAGTATTTTTAAGTTTTCTTTTCACACCTAGATTCACAAGGTGAAATTTGTTGTTCAAGAACTCACTCAGTGAGGTTCAAGGTATATGAATCATAGTGAATTTGCCTGAACAGATTCACCAGTTTTATAGACTGCTGAGTTATCTAGGGAGATTCAGTTTAGAAAATCTCTTTCTCTCTGTGCCATGGTTCCCAATATCCTAGAACTGATGCCATTCATTAGACACCAGAACACATTTGTTGCATGAGGTGGAATTGTGTCTCACAGGTGAGGCTAGCAGAGGGCTTTTCACATCTACCAAGTATACCTGTGCCATATTGTCCATTTCTTCATATGCAGTAGTAGCCCAAGTGTCATCTTCTGAAGAGCTCATGTGAGCTTTGAGAAGGATCATATGATACAGGAGGTATATGCTCCACTCAGCCAGATGAGCGGAATCGGCCTTGAAGTGAGGTGATGACAGCTGCCAGGGCCAAGTGACCTGTGCTGCCTGCATTCTTACTGGTGCCCCTACTGTTTTAACTGGTGCTTCTTTAAGGCTTCTCGGTGCTCTCCAAGACCCAGCGTATCCTAGCAAGAAGCAGTACTGCTTTTTCCTCCACTGAAAATATAAATATTTCCTGTAGGAATGCATGCTCAAAGAGAGGGAAAATATAATTTCTTTAACAAAAAACATGTATCACACCAATTGTCAGGTGTCTGCCATCTAAAAAGTAACATCTGTTTATATCAAATTAAGTTTCTTGCTAGTTTTATAATTGCTGTAATACAGATATTGTAAAGAGAAAACACATCCAACAATCTTTTTTTTTAATATTTTTTTTAATTGGGAAAAACATATTGGGGCTACAAGGAGGTGAGGGTTGGAGGCAGAAGGGTGAGGATGGGCCAGGATGCAGTTGCAGAGCTGCACAGTTTGGTTGGTGGGGGGAGCAGGTGAAGGAAATGATGAGGG